TTTTGTTTTATTACTGTTGTTGTTGTATATTTTTAAAGAATAATTTTTTTCAGTATCTGTCTACATTTTGGGGATGAGGTATTATGTACACTATTTACATCATTAGGATTATTGTCCTCATCTTTGTCGCCATATTTATCACAACGTTTCGGCCATTGTACGCTCCGGCATTCTTCAGGTGGTTTGAACCCTTTATTTCGCTCACTGAGTAGACAATATGAGCCCTGGTAAAAACATGGAATGATAACAGCAAAAATTGCAATGTGTACTTTAAAAAATGTTTGCTGAAGACATTAGGTTTATAATACCCAGAAATTCATACACAGATGTCTTCAAAGATACATGACACAGTGTATAAAGGCCTTAGTTAGATCAAGAGACAGGACCCAAAGAGTGTGAGTTCAATACCGGTTAAGGCAGTGAAGATCATTCAGAGGGAAAATTAACAGGAGATAACTGATAACTGACATCCATTAGACATGGCACGTGGAACTAGAACAGTCTACACCAGTGAGCGAAATAAAGGGTTCAGTTCGACATTCCAACCACCTGAAGAAGGCCGGAGCGTACAACGGCCGAAGCGTTGTGATGAATATGGCGACAAAGATGAGGACAATAGTCCGAATAGTGTTCATAATTTTATTTGTTTATCAATGATGTAGCTAGGAAAATTATTATTGACTAATATTTGTTTATGCGTTTTAATTCACTCAGAAATATTCGCTTGAAAGAGGAATTTTGGTGTGCCCTTTGAGGAAGTTTTTTTTTATTACTGCTCATAATTTAGAAGATTATATATATATATATATGTGTGTGTGTGTGTGTGTGTGTGGAAAAGATAATCAACAACGCATTTTGCGCCTTTTATTAGGCGTTCTCAGGCTGAAATTAGAAACTCCCATACAAACCCATATGTGAGAAAATTCGTAATTACACAAAATACTCAATATTGGCGAAACATCGAAAAATCTAAAAAAAAAAAAGAAGGACAATACGATCATCGCAATGTCTGTTGTATAAAAATACTCGCTCTTGTGGTTCACATTAAGGCATCTAATGACAATCTCGAATTAATGAATGCCAATCTGATTAGAAGAAGAGAAGTTATTAAGAAGAAAACGTATTCACTGATCCCATAATTCTCTACGGCCTATCTCAGACCACGATCATATACGCCCTTCATTGCAAAAATATCAGTCATACACTGTAGGATACAAGCTAGGAGAGAAGAAAATTAGAGATGGATAAATTTTAACTTTAACTTCATTACGAAAAATAAAAATAAAAAAAAAACACCTTTAAAAAATACTTTCCTCACTATTCAAAAAAGTACTTAAAAGGAAACTCAATATTAGGAAGTGCAATATAGCTGCGGAGTTCAAATTTGTAATTTTCTAAAAACTGTTTGCAAAAGCCGGCAAATGATTGCCTAATGTTTCCTGTATGGAAACGGCTACTCTCACCATTACGATTACTATTCCCAATAAGCAAGAAAGACAGGTTGACTAGTAAGTATACAGTGTAACCCGGATATAAGAGAGTTGTCGGGACCGGAGAAGAAGTCTCTTATATCCGGGTTTGGTCTATTTTGTTTACATTAACACAGGCTCTAATTTGGGACGAGAGAAAATCTCTCTTACATCCGGGTTTCTCTTACATCCGGGTTTCTCTTACATCCGGGTTACACTGTATATTTAAAGAAGTTGATGTCAGAAAGGTCGACAGGGAGAAAAGACGTAGAGAATATTAGCTAAAGACATGAAAGCAATCAAACTACCAGCTTTAAAGAAGAAGCGTGTATGTTGGATATGATTCTACTGAAGAGGAATCCGCGTCCTCGGTATGACGATAAACTACGTCCGGCAGCAAGGCCTGTAATCGGGAGATTGGAGATTTTGGGGAGAGTAGAACCACTTCTTAATTGCTGTTGTTCGCAGATCCACCTATTTGGATCCCAACTATGGGCAAATATTGAACCCCTAATCAAAAATGATAACACGAGGAACGTACAAAAAAGGACTTTCGTAGTAAAAGTGCAGGCAATACATTTTTATAAAAAAGTAATTACCAGCAATACATTTTTAAAAATTACCAATAATACATTTCATCATCTACAAACTATATATCTAAAAAAAAATATACGTCTACTCTGAAAATAGAAAATTATGTACAAAATATCACATAAAATTTCGTTCTAAATATATGCAGTTGAAAGCATGCAATTGCATTCAAAATATTTAGATTTCGGCATGAAATGACCCATAGAGGTGTTGATATGCCGCTAAACAAAATCAACCAATAAAAATACGACACCTATTGTATTGAGCTCTGTATTTTAAGAATTGTTTGCACTAATCGGAAAACTACAAAAATTACAATGGAATAAATTTTTGAGAATAGGTTTTTGCCAAATCTTCGGATTTCTATCTTTGTGTGTGTCGATGGATATGAAAAGCTTCAATAAATTTTGACTGTCATCATATATGTTCGGAATGATGTCTCTCGGTCACAGGAAATATTAAAAAGCATTCTGTCAGATCACTGTTTTTTTGTCTCTAAAATGTCATTATCAGCAATGGAAGATATTCTGATAATTAAAAGCATTCACAGTAGTAAATTAGAACATAAAAAATCGCGAAGATTGAGCAAATCTTTTGTTACCTGTGTGTGCTTATGTAAGACAAACTTCCAGATTCAGCTAAGAAATAAATGTTGTTGGTCTTCTATGTGCTACTTCCCTTCAGGACGCTGGCGATCATGGCTCTCCACAATTTTCTGTCCTTTATTGCTCTTAATGAATTTTGTCTTCTTGTTATCTTTCCTAATCCCTATTCTGCCATCCATTTACTGAGACTTTCTAGATAGGTTATACGTTGTTTTCCTCTGTCTTTCTCACCTTTAATTTGCTCTGTGAGTATTACATTTTCCAAGCACTCTTTACTGATTACGTACCCCAGAGATTTCAACGTTCTCTTTTTGATGTTAATTATAAGTGTTCATAAAACTTTATCATTGCTTACTTGTTCCGTCCATGGTATTTTCAGCATCCTTCTGTAGAATCACATTCCAGTCGCTTCTTTGCAAGTGACATGTGAGTCGTCTACTGAAGGTGGTGGTAGTAGGTCCGCTATAGGTAAATGATTTATTATAAGAGACGTAGTCTTATACCGGGAATTGAAATTGATAAACTTTATTGGCTATCGCTAGTTTATATTTGGTGGGGTTATTTTGATTAGTGACAACAAGGTTTGCGGTTTTCCATTTTCTGTAATATATAAGTTTTACATGTTTTTCGGAATTTGCGGCAGAAATATGGTGTTTAATGATTCATCTCATAGCTTATCTGTGAGGAGATATATAAGAAAACTGATATTAGATAACAGTTCAAATTCAATTTTCCATTTGTGCTAAGACTATTGCAATCAATAGAAAACTAAAAAAAAAACCAAAAAACCTTCATCAGAAAATTTATTTACCTGACCTTTTAGTTCGTTAATAGCATTTTAGAATCTATATTTTCTATTATATTTCTAATTAGTTTATTGCTCACGGATGTGCAGTTGATCCAACCGGCATTGGCGTGCGCTGTTGTATCAGCGAGTCGAGTTCAAATTCCAGGCTTGTTAAATGTATTCACTTTTACTCAAATGTCACCGAAAGAAGTGAATCCGTTTTCTTTCCTCTCATCTATAGATTAAATAACAATTTAGAATGAATCTCTTTAGCCATGAGTGCTAACCAGTCTACGAGAAGGAAAACTGTAAATTCCACCTGTGGAAACCACGCTACTATATTTTCCAAAAATGAATAGCAATTCACGGATAATAGAGATAGAGAAGAAATGAAGAGTCATAAACGACGACGCCGTGGAAATAATAAAGCGATTCTCTATTTTCAACTATGTTCTCTATTTTAAAGAAAACCGATGACATCTCAAGGGGGAAGTATAAAATGTCTGAATGATATATGCTTATTTCATACTTTTCCACAAATATGTTAGACGTTCTATAGACACCTCCCTGCCTCCCATCGGGATGGCTGATGCCAAACTCCACGAGTGAGCCTCTCTGCGCCTGCTTGGTCTCACGCTGACCACTGGCGTGAAGTGGAACAACTACATTGAATCTATAGCTTCATCTACCGCAAGGAAAGTTGGTTCTCTGTATCGCACCAGAAGGTTTTTCTCGCCTGAGTCTGTCCTTCAAATCAACCATTCGTCCATGCATGGAATACTGCTGTCATATATGGTCTGGTGCTCCCGCTGTTCATCTCGAGGTTCTAGACAAAATCCAGAGACGAATATGAAACGTGGTTGGACCTGAGCTGTCGTCTTTTCTACAAGTATTTCCATGGCAACTGCTTTGACTAGCTACTTTCACTGGTTCCCAAAGTGCATGAATTTAAACGTGCTACTAGGTTGGCATCTCGGTCCCAACCTTTCACTGTCGAAACGAGGAAATGTAGCCGTCTATTCTACTCTAGCAGCTTCTAATCTCACACCACCCGTTAGTGAAACTCCTTTACTATCACTTGCTTCCTTGATAGCTATAAATCTTCAAATATTCAAATATAATGTCTATCGACATCTTCTGATGCCTTGACTTTGATCCCTGTCCTACTCTTTATCCTTTCCTCAAACACTCCTCTTTACTCTTAATCTCACTCTCTGTAACCCCTTGCGTGCTAGTGGCATTCCCGTCTTGCTTGGGGTGATTCGCTTAAAAAAATATAATCTAATATAAAATACTTCTTTTGATTATTTATCAACCATTTTCAGGTTACTTAAAGCCAGAAAATATTTTTAGATTGTAAGAATTTTTTTCAATATATTAACTATTTTAATGATACTAATTAACCCATAGGTGGGGGGAAAGAGGTGGATACATTACTTTTCTAAAGGGTATTTTCGCGTAAGTGAATATAACAAACTCAACTGGAATTTGAACTCTGCTCTCCGATTAACAATTCCGAGCCATTACCGATTACATTCGTTGCAGATTTACAGAACCTGGTATTCGCAAACGGTCACCTATCTAGTTACTGACCTAGCTCGACGCTGCTTAACTTCGGCGACCGTACGGGAATCAGTGTTTCAACGTGATATGCCCGTAAGCTTTTCAATGCCTTAGTTTCATAATAATGCCAGTAACACGTATATGTAATAAAATTTCTGATATGAAGTAAGCGAGTACTTTCGAATTTGGAAGATTGACGTAACAATGTTTCTCACAGACAATTTTTCTTGCATGCAAATATGTGCCAGACGCTATTAATATCCGGCTTTATTTTATACTTCTGTCTGCAACTGAAATTCTCTCTCCTTCATCAGAACATCATAAAGAAAAAAGAAATTAATTTCCGATCGTATTTAATGTCGTAACCCCAATACACGTTAGGTCGTTAGCTTTGAAATTGACAGATTTCGGTATGATGAAGTCGGTCCTATATATTGCCAAGATGTCCTCATCATAAAATCCTGGAACATACAAAGTGTTCATAAAAGTATATTTTAACACTGCGCAAATCAAAGTCTCTGCCCGCAACCTTTTTATGCAGTCTTCCTTCCGGATGTAAAGAATTATTACTCACCACATTTTATTGTCTTTCGTTATTTTCAGCAAGGCTTTCTTTTTTTATCTGCCATTCTATTTGTAGTCGCTTTCATTCCATTCATTTGCCCGAGGCAGTTCTATGTGATATAATGGTCAGAAACAGTATCTTGCTAGACCAATTTCGACTGGCTAGGGAGTTCGATACTCACTGGTTGTTCCATAAGTTCGGCTTTGCGCCACATCTAAGCTTCACTTAGTAAAGTGGCACTTCGATGTGGAATAATGTTTAGAAACCTTCTTTAGCTAGATAAATTACGACTGAGAAGGGCGTTCGATCCTCACTTGATGCTCCATACTTTCGGCCTTGTGCCACATCTAAACATCACCTAGTAAAGAAGCACTTCGTCTTGGTGTAATGGTTAACAAGCCTCCCTCGCTAAAACATTTACAACTGCAATTCCTGTCGAAAAATGTTATGTTTTAATTCAATATTAAAGATGGTTTTTATTTTTTATAGAAAAAAAACAATCAAATTTTGCCCATCAAAATTTAGCAGGAAAAACATCAGTGTGTTTACATTTAAAGAAAATGTAAAATAAGTGTAATTATTACTAAAATAAAAAAAAAAAAAATAAAATAAAATAAAATTCCTTATTATGTAATTTGGGGTACTATTTCAGGTTCTGATGACAATAAAAAAAAACAAAAAAAAAAAACAATATGATCAGAACCTTTTCGCCCGGTCTCTCGTCTGACCTTCTAATACGGATAAATTTCAATACCTCAGCGACTAAGCTCGTACCATCATATTATCACCGGTCAGGCTTTGAGTTTTCTTCCATTACGATGAACATTTACCCTCTTAATGAGGTGCCATATTCTGAACGTCAATTGAGTCTCAGGTTTAATCCAGACCTCAAGCAGAACTTATATAGCATCCACTACTAAAATGACTCTAAAAAGTAGATGGATCATTCTATCGCTCCTAAAATACCCGATTCCTTCTGCAATGATTTATCTTTACAAGAGTCAGATTATAATTGAAGTTTTACTGTCATTTGGACTGGAGATGCTCAATCTTCAATTGCCAGCCCTGATAGAGTTCAAAATCGTTTAGGCGATCTTTTAGGCGGATGACATGTTCCACTCTGTAGCAACTTTCCCAGAGACGCAAAATTGCAAGCCACTCGCTATTCTATCGCTATTTGGTAAATATCGAGATTAACTTTATCCTTTAGTTCCAATCGTTCACACATTTCCAGGTAGCATACGTCTTGCTACCTCCACGGAGTTAAATCCTCCTCATTTCCGCTGTGTTTTTAATTTAAATATTAATTTCCATTTTTAGAGTTTTCCCCAAACTGCCATTGAGTCCTATGTGGATTCTTCTCTGAACGCTTCACTCTTGGTTTCTTCAAGTCAAGGGTGAATTTTCATCTTTTTTCTTTCTCTTACATATCCTAGCACCTTCTCTTTCGTTCCTATAACATATTTACTTCATCATTACAATTTTGACTGTAACCCTGTAATTTAAGTGGCTCTTGTAAAAGTTGTTCTCTGACTTTATAGTCCTGGGTATGAAGATAAACTACATCCGATTGCTGCCGGATGATGTTTATCGTCAGACCTCAGATTGGACGTTATAAGGAGCGTGGAACCACTTTTCAATTGTTGTGGTAGCACCTGTTATGGTCCCAGCTATAGACAAATAGTGAACCCCCTACAAAAAAAAAATCACTAGGAAAGTATTAAAATACCTTTTTTTAGTGAAATTACTAGTAATATATATTTTTATAGTAAACTAACCAACAATACATTTTTATAGTAAAATTACCAACAGTATATTTTTATAGCAAAATTACCAACAATACATTTTAATGTAAAATGACTAACATTTTTATAGTAAAATAAGCAACGACGTATATCTAGAGAAAAATGACCAACAATACATTTTTATAGTATAAAGACCAACAATACATTTTATAGCAAAATTGAAGTCATACATTGTAAAAAAAAAAATTTTATCTCATTTCAAGAAACAAATTTACGTTCCTCGTTTGATTCTGTAAGATTATTTGGTAAAAAATGCAGTTAATTAATTCTGATTTAATCATGAACTAATGTCATTCTCTTGAATTAATTATTAAGTTTGAATTTTCATATTTAAATTTCGGTATTTAATAAACCATATAGATTTTTACATGCCGCTAAACAAAACAACCAAACCAAAACAATCCCTGACTTTACTATTTATTCTCTTCTTTCGTAAGTAAGTTATATGTCCCGGAAAGGGATATATTTGTTCGAAGTAGCAAAGTGGTTGTTGACTACTGTAATCGGGTTGGACAATCTAGCAGGTAACCGTAATGGACTGGTCCTCGTCGTATTGGTAGGCAATAGGCGTAGGCAAATAGGCGTCTTCATGTACCTCCATATCAGTCTGTATTTATGGCTGACACCAACCAATCATATTACTGTGAGAGGGAACCCAGGTGTATGCATATTCATTACACCAGTAAGATAAAATAATAGCGGAAACATGGCATGTTAGGACATGATACCAATATTGGAAGTGAGTGTCAAACAACCTGGTACTGGATAGAAATTAATGATAAAAAAATTGTGGGAAGTTATCAGGACTCTGCTTGAGAACTGAAAAATCTTTAGAATATTATGGTTAAGTTTCTGCATGTTATAGCAGGCTTACTTAGAACTGTGGTCAAACACTGAAAGCGAAATTCAATGTTTTTGAAAAATAAAAATTAGACTATGTATTAGCGCCTACAATGAGACGAAGCAAATTACTGAACTCCAGACAGGAACACTAGACAGGAACTTTATGAAGTCTAAGAGAAGTGGTACCACCACAAAACGGATAAGGGGATAGAAAATGACCAACTCAATATCCAAACAGACCATATCCTTGAGACCTCAAAACCTGCCGTTGGAAAAAATAAATAAGTAAATGCCTCCTCGTCGATATGGCTGTTCCTTGTATATCAGGGTCAAAGAACTTGAAAATCTTAAAAACTCCGGATTGAGGTTGCCAGAATTTCCGACGTCTATGATATCATTGTTCCCGTTATAATTGGGTGGGAGGACTCTAACACTGAAAACCCTAGATTAAGAAAATCGGTATAAAGCCTTTTTGTTCCATCGATTTAGAATTCAGCATTGCATTGCAAACATTCTGCGAAAGGCGGTATCTACATAAAGTCCTCCGACTTTATTGAGAACACCCACAATGCAATTGTCCGGTTCAAAACGAAGGCCGTACTGAAGAATAGAAGGTAATAATAATAATAATAATAATAATAATAATAATAATAATATTTTGTCTTTTTATTTGTTTTGTTTTTTTAATTGATCAGTGGAAAATGCCATGATGCCATTTTTAACCTTAGGTCTCTGGGCGGGATCCGGAAAGAAATGAGTACACATCAGAAATCAAAGGAAATAATAATAATAATAATAATAATAATAATAATAATAATAATAATAGAATGTGGGAAAACAACGCAATTTACTGGGAAACAATCATACAGTATTATCAAAGCTGACAAGACGATGAATTTTCGTCGATGCAAATCACGTTTTTGTCCAGTCATCAAATTTCCATCACTTGACGATTTCTGTACTTTATGGCGCGTGAAACCTTCCGCTTCGTAGAATTGATGGAAAGAAAGATTAATGTTGAATTTCAGTTAAGTAATAACTCTTTCCAAATACTTTCCGGATATTTTCAACTTGAAAAACTTTCAACCGTAATTAACGACATTGCAAACCTGTTTTGAATGAAAAAGGAATTTCTGAAATCAAGACCAATTGTACACAATTTGTAAGAACACACACACACAGTAGAACACACACACAGATATGTATATATTTATATACATGTATGCATATATACTATAGCGCAAAAATACAAACAAACGTCATAAGAAGGTGAATGAAGTCAGTGTCGATATACATTTAGATATTTCGTACGGAAAAAATAATTTAAAGCTAATCATCCTCAGTATCTTAAGCATTTCTCGATGTAAAATTGTAACAGGAGATTTTTTTGTATTCTTTCCTCCTACACACACATACAGTAACCGACTGCTTGATGATTCCATGAAAAAAAACATGAAACTAGCAGTCGTGGTCGGTCACTGCCTACCAGCATTGTTACTTTAATATATATATATATATATATATATATATACGCGCAAAGAAAAATTAAAAAATTTAAAAAACATTACTTACACAAAGAAAAAGAAAAAAATCACCTTAACACTAATAAAATCGCATAGGTTGTTATTTTTTTAATGTAATACAAAAGTAACGAAACTAAGAAAATCAGCTTAAAAATGCTAATACCTAATGACGAGTGGAACGAGCGATTCCAAAATGTTTTCTCCTACGAAACACTAGAGTCGGACTGCTGAATTTAATATCAATGAGCTTAGTGACAAATTTTATATTTGTATTAATCCTAGCAGAGCTATCAAATATATATTAATAAATATACATAATACTCCACGCCGACAGTACAACTCGGAGTTTCATGCAATATGC